CAGTCTCAAGCAGCGAAGAGCAGACCAAAGATTAATTATTTTATACAAAATTGTGAATAACTTAGTTGAAATTGATCTTTTTAAAGAACCTATATACCACTTATGAGAAATAGTCATGCCAAATCCTTTTGAATTCCCTACGAAAAGAAAACCTGTCTTCAATACAGCTTTTTACCTAGAACTATAAAGCAGTGGAACAGTTTGCCCGCCACCCTAGCCACCGCTTGTAGTCTTAATGTTTTTAAGAGTGGGGTCTGTGTGCTGAAACATTAAGAACCTTTATGAAGCTGACCAAATCCAAGCATATAAATTCAAGGGAATGCTTGTAATATGGTAAATGTAAAATTTAAATGTATTGATATTGTAGGGAGAAATTCTGTCTTGGTCACTCATGGGGGTTAACCCTTAAACCCCCAGATCAAATTTGTAATTCCCCCTACTATCAACCATACAATTCTTATAATTTTAGTACAGAGAATTCAGTATTGGATCAACTAATTATCCCCCAATTGATATTTTTCTTTATTCTCATCACTTATGTGGTTGATATTGTGTTGATATTTTAAAGAGAAATTCTATCTTGGTCACTCATGGGAAATTATTTTTCTTGTTTCTACTTAGTCATTCAAAAGACTGTCCAATCTGTAGAGCAAAAGCTCAACTCAAGTCTGCTGTACCAGTGAAGGTGAGTGAATCCTTTACACCCTAACATCTGAGTAAACATGTTCTCTATACTGTTCTTTATACATTTCCTAGGATACTGATAGGGAGAAATTGTTTAACAATCAAGGACCTCCTTTGTCTGTGATTATTTCCTGTATTCTCATGACCTTGATGCATGATTCAGGGTGATATTGTAAGGAGAAATTAGATGCTAGTCACTCTTATGGTTCAAAGGGTTATCAGTTGAAGGGGTGATTAGAAAAGAGCCTTAAGGTTATTTTTAGTGGAACAGCAACTTTTTCTTTCTCTTTTGTGGGGCAATACCAGAAAATTTGAAAGGGGAATCTCATAGTTCATCATAAGTCACTTTGGGCTTTTTCTCTCCACCTCTTCAGT